CACGATGATGTCATCATCTAAGTATATAACCCTCGAGTGGAGGATGTCGAGCAGAGGGAGGTAAAACCGCACAAAGTTGAGCTGCAAAACAAAGTTTTTTATTTCTTTGAGACAGGAACTCTGTGCTTGGTTTGGCTGATGGCACGGATGCAGCACTCACGGGATGTAAGAGATCGGGTCGAGATGAATCTGGCTTCACCTTTCCAACAAGGACCATCGGGTTAAATTCCACTATCTTGTAGCGGATGCCTTTGAGTTTTGTCTTCTCTATGTACCTCCTACGTGACACAAAAGGAAGATTAGGTGAGAAATACTCACTTTGGGCAACAATACTGGGAGAAAACCACTGATCTCCATATTTGGAACAAAGTGCGGTTCATATTTTTGTAGTTCAAAGATGCACCTCGTGAGTCTGACAGCATCACGAAGAGTAACAACGTAGAAGAAAACACTGGCGTCTGTGTTGCTGATGATGCTGTTGATGGTTGCCATGGAGGCACCCATGCGCTCCTCTGATGCACAGATGACGACGGGCACGACATCATGCGCTTCTGCAGCGTGTTCCTGAGGAACTTGTCCTGCATTCTTGGGGCTTTTCCTGTTCTCTGTCAGGAATCAGGAGTTTAGACTGGTTTATGCTCAATTTCAGTGGGATCCTTTTCACTTAAGGAGAGTAACATATTTCACATTTGGAACATTAGTGAGTATTTCTCAGATTAAGTAGTGAAGACCAACGCTGACGCACCTGAGAGTCTTGGCCGAGTGGAGGCTCTGAGCAGTGTACTGCGCAGGAGGAGGCACACCATCAGCACCAGCAGCACCAGCAGGATCCGATTGACTGAAACGCGATCGCTCAGTGTTTGAGTGCAAAACTAAAGAAGTTTGTCTCAAAGCAGATTGATGCCATAAAACAACAAGAGCTGTCTACGTTTAGAAGGAACATCATAAACCACAGACTTGTGCCTGACCTCATCTGTCAGCTTGCCCATCATCACTGTGTCTCATGCACATCCTGCACCATCCTCACATGTCCTCCTTTGACATCACATGCTCGCTCTACATCAGCAGAGACAGAAACTCCCTCTGACCCTCTCTATTCCTCTCCATCAACTGATATCCTCATGTTGGTGTTGTCCAGGATCAACATTGGACCTGACCAATCACACCGTTGTGACATCATAGCTGTCCACTCAGGGAAACAGGTCAGGATGTGATTGTGGTTAGGGCTGAGTGATGTGACGGTGTTTCCATCACTACAGTGTGATCGATGTTGAACCAGGACCGACATCAGTTTGTTGATCCAGGAACATCAGCACGGCGACATCAGATTGAGCCTCCACCAACACAGTCAAAGCAAAGTACAAGTAAGAATAATAAAAAATAAAATGAGGCTCTTTATGGCTGAGCCAGACAACAGTCTGCTGTTCATTAGCTCAGGTTGGCTTAAAGCGAGTGAAAGCTTTAAACCAAAGAAAGAAAAAAGACTTCACAGAGACGCCGGCTGCTACAATAGGCAGGTAACGGCTACCTTTATGCTAGCAATGGTACAGTGATTCTCAGTTGCACAGCAAAGACAGAGAATAAATCATCCCATAAATAATTAAGTGATTATCAGCTGTTACTATAAAAAGTAAAACATGTCCATTTTCAAAATGCTTTGTGTATTTCCTCCAGCTGTGAGACACACCAGAGAGGAAGGAGGGTCTGCAAACACAAGCGTACTTTGGTTTTTGTGCAGCCGTCCGGGTACTGTAGCTAGTGCTAACTGGAGTCTGCACAGCATCCTGACTCGTTACCTAGAACCACGGATTAGTGAAAGCACTTAAGGATTGCTCTCACAGTATGAGAGAATCCAGTTACCAGTCGAGTTAAGTGTTAAAGGTTTGGCTAGTAGAAGGTGGATTTCCTGAAGGCGAGTAAAGTGGAAAATGTGCCTTTTCTGTAGAAAGAAAACAGCGTGAAAAAAACTGGAGTTACTGAAATTTGCACACATGCAGCTTTTACTTTTTAACAACCACATGCAGTTCAGGAATAAGTCGTTACAGCCTGCTGCCATCTGCCTATCCCATTCCATGTGCATGGCTGCTTCCTCTTCCTGGGGAAAAATAAGGGGACCTTTACTGGCAACAGCTGCCCAGTGGATGCACAGTGGACGTGAATGCAAAGCACATGCAGACAACACATTCTGCTAACGTTACTTCTCAGCTACATGTCAGCTAATACTGCTGGACGACATGAATCAGTCTTTATCCATTTGCATCACACTTTGGTTACACTTACTTTTTCTCAGGAGAGCCATGTTTTCTATTTGCTTCCAGGGACATCTGCACACACACCAGAACAGAGAAGGAGAGAGCTATGAAGCCACTTCTGAGGAGCAAAAGATGAAATATTTTGTAATTTGGCCCCTCAGGGAGGGGAGCCCTGAAACCTGCCAACACAGCTAACAGCCCTGAAATGTGTTTTTATTTCTAAAGATGACAGCTCTCATATGTTTGCAGTGCAGGGAGTGTTACTGTCAAACAACCTGATGGCTGCTGTTTAGAAGCAGCGCCTTCTACAGCTGTGAATAATCTGAGGTAGGCTGACAGAGTACAGCTGTAACCCTACGAACACAAAGCAGAGAGGCCGTCTGTGCAGAACAATCAGTCCTTACGTGTTCCTCTCTCAGCTGCTCGCGTTAGGAGTCACCGCAGCGCAGCATCCGATCTCGCCCTCGCCCTCCCTCTAAACATCACTGCACTCCTCATCAGTCTTTGGCTGCTTTTTAGTCATTTTGAGGACAGTACCTGACCATACTGGGAGGGATATTTCTTTTGTTTGACCAGTCACTCAACACTTACTATTAAAGTGTAAAAAAGGCATCCGGTCATAAAACATACAGCTTTTCCCATTTCTTTAGTTGAATCTGCAAAAAAATGCCCAAAACATAAAGCAGTATTTTACATAAACAAGCTGATTCCCAAAGAGCTGACATATGCTGTGTACACGTGGACGACAAATGAATGGCAGGCCTAAAAAACTATTTGAAGCAAATGAAGAGCATGGGTAAAATCCAGCAAACGCCTGACCTGAGGGCTGGATCTGGGGCTTCGGCCCATCCATCTACCATTTGTCAAAGTCTCGTTAGAAACGGCCTCAATTCAAATTGTTGTCCGTATGTATGGAAGAGGTTAGGGGAGAGGTACAGCAGTGCGTGTCCAGAGGCATGTGTAAAACACGGGGGAGGCTCTGTCACGGTGTGGTGTCGGGGATCCTATCACACTGGGATTAGGAATCGTAACACTAGCAGGAAGGAAGCTCGTATCTCTGAAGTGTGACGTACACGATCATTCCTAAGCCAGTAGGTTTGTTTCTAAGCTCGAACAAAAGCTACAGTGAAAAGTAACACAAAAAGACCTTTACATGAAGCAGAGTGATGTGACCAGACACAGATTCAGTGAGACAAGGGCTGACACGTGGCTGAGTCCAAAGTATTTCCTTCCTTTCTGGTGCCGGCTGCATGTGTTTGCCTACCAGCCTCTCAAACCTTTATACAAATACAACAAATGCTCACACAGTGAACGGAGGGTGAAGTCTCCCCTTTCATGAGACAAATAAGGGATTCTTACCAACACCCCATTAATTATGCTTTAAGTTTAAAATGTAAAATCTGCCCAGAGAGGATGGCAGCTTGGTTAGCTCATAATGACGCCTACTCTGCAGCCTTTCACCAGAGCTGCTGTCAGCTGAAGTACAACAGGACTTGCAGTTTGTGTCCTGCATTTGTTTCTGGTTTATTTGCTGCTCTTCAGAGAATTCAGAAACATCTGGAACTGCTCAGCTTTAGCTGGGAAGAGCAGAGCTGCCCAACAGCTGGGCTGCATTTGAACAACTCATCATTTACAGGAGTTACACTTTAGTATTCTTGTATGTAATATGTCCTCTTAATGCATCTCAGTGCAGTTTCACATTGTCAGTGTCAGTTTATACCAATAGTTTAACAAGTGAGTGATATTATACTTAGATTTAGAAAACCACTTTTTCACCATCAGCACAAAGTCCTCACGGTGTGTGAATGTGTGATGGTGCAGTGCAGAAACCATCACTCTGAAAACAGTTTGTGTTTGTCCTCTGTCCACAAAGAGCCATTAATGTAGAGAAGTAACTGAAACAGACGCTTTGACCGAGCGCCGGGAGCTGAAGTTAAAAGCTTAGATGGAAATCTTTAAGCAGAGCACGTTAGTGTAAAATGACAAAAAGCTCTATGGTTTACTTAAACCCTTACACATTACAACATCATGCAACCATAACAGACATAAAACTATCTGTAGAACAAAAAAGAGGAAAAAAAGCTCTTTTAGATGGCAAAGCATGAAGGTGTGTCAGTGCTGCTTTGATACGACAGCCATCTTTTGTTTTTAAGTGCAGTACAAAGTCAAATGTCTGAAACACACTCACCAGCAACAACAGCGTGGAGGTTACAGCTAGTCCCATTCGTGGAGCTGATGGTCCGTGTTGTAAAACCTCTGAGGACTGAGACTCACCCGCTTTTCTCTCCCCCCACCTTTTCCTCCAGATGTGACTCGTCTTCTTCTTGTTAGCCAGATGCTGGATTATCTCGTTTAGAAGACCAGTGACGGCAATATCTGATCCACTTTTGGTATTTTGTCAGAGAGAAAAAGAAAGTCTGTGATAATTACCCTCATGAGATGTGTTAACATTATTCCAGTAATCATTTATTAACCTAAATTTTCTTTATTATTTAACTACATTAAAGACAATTTAGAGTCTAAACGACCAAAATTGTCTTTAATGTAAAGAGCAAAGTGATTTGCAACGTGAACTCTCTAAAGTTTAGAGAGCCAAATCACGTTGCTACAACAACTACATCTCCCACAATCCACATGGCCACGCCCTCCTAAGGGCAATGATGTTCTTTCCTAATCCAAGTGACGGCTCTAACCTTGCTTTGACTGTTGTATAAAAGGTTTCTCATCAATAGCAGTAGCAATATGTACACACTGTATAATTCAGGTCATTTTAATCTTAAATTGCAAAAAAAAAAAATCTATTAGTGCTCATAATAATATTTAGAATTTTGATCAAGATATAAGTACGTAAAAAACCAAACACTTGCGTGCTTTATGTTGGTTTCAGAGGTACAGGGGTAGGTCATGGTTGGCCACGTGATTCTAAGCAGCTCAACCAGGAATCGCGCTGGTAAACAGGCCAGCGTGTGTTCTTCAACACTTCAGAGTAACTGTTCTTATTTTGGCCCGTAGGGCAGTTTCTGCTCCAGCATTTAACTTCCACCCAGCATGGATGAAAACACTTCGAAGCTGCTAGTGAAGCTCACTCAGGACGGACAGTTGGCCGCGCTGGAGAAACACATAACATTAGGCGGCTCGACTGCGGCGCAAACTGTCAGTGGCAAACACTTCGGCAAGTCGGGAGACACCTTGCTGCACTACGCCGCAAGGCATGGACACCTGGACATTGTAAAGTACCTGATAAAGAGGGTTGGCTTGGATGTAGAGGTGTACAACAACGACTATAAGAGGCCGCTACACGAAGCAGCCTCCATGAGCCACAAGGACTGTGTTAGCTACCTGCTCCAAGAAGGCGCCAAAGTGGACAGTCTGAAGAAGGCTGACTGGTGAGAAAGAGCCTGTTAACGTGTTACTACATTACTGTAACCCTACTCCAAAAGGAAAGAGGAAGAAGAAGTAAGCACCATCTTTCCCGGGTTCACTTTAAAGCTGGCTTCGCTGTGGGAGGGGTTACCGCCCTTCGATAGCTCAGTTGGTAGAGCGGAGGACTGTAGAGGCTGAATGCTGACATCCTTAGGTCGCTGGTTCGAATCCGGCTCGAAGGAGTTACCTTTTTTAACTGGACAGAACAGTACAACTATAAACAAATGGCGTAATATTAGCTAAATATACCTGAAGGAGCGGCTTTACTTTTCTTTAATATACTTCAATAAATTTGTGTTTCTAGTTGGAAATCGAAGGGGCTTATTGGTAAAAATAGCTGACAATACAATACGTTATTACAATTAAATGTACATTATTTCAAATTCAGGCTTTACAGTCCAGCCCTGTTAAACACTGACTGTTCTACAGTGCTCAGACTGTATCTGTGTGCTCCGTTTGGGTGTATTCAGTACGGTCGTTTAAAATTAACATGAAAGAAATTGTAATATTATTTTTTTCATAAGCTACTCTTAAAATGTGAAGATATTACACGTTGTATAATATGTTCCATGATTGTAGCGCAGGAAACAAATAAAAACAGGTCAGTAGGACAGCAGCAGCACATTATCTTTCCAACTTCACTCCATATTTCGCCTGGTTATCCACGCCCCCTAGTGGCTCTATCAGTAAGTACGGGACAGATCTTCTACATAGAGTGTATGAATATATCCACCAATTGCAGTAAGTTTGTTTGTCAGAGGAGATTTGTGTCTCTGCTCTCAGGACTCCGCTGATGATGGCGTGCACTCGGAGGAACCTGGACGTGATCCAGGAGCTGCTTTGCCACGGTGCCGACCCCGCACTGAGAAACAAGGACGGCTGGAACTCCTTCCACATCGCCTGCAGAGAGGGAGACCCTGTGGTCATACAGCACCTGCTCCTTGTTGCACCAGACGTCTGGAGGACGGAGAGCAGGACACGCAGGACGCCACTACACACCGCAGGTGTCTGTACTTACAGTATGTGGAGATGTGACGTGAGGGGAAATCATATAACTTACACTTTCTCTGTTCATCCAGCAATGCATGGATGTGAGGAGGTGGTTAAGGTCTTGCTGGACAGGTATGTTGAAATTTTACATGGAGACTAATTCTGCTGCATATTTAACGCCAAATCAGTCAACTCTGGATGCTGTCTGACTTTAGTTGTCAGCAGTTCTTACATATATAGCCCATGTCAACTCAAAATGCCCTAAAATGACAAATTCACAGTATAAAAATGTATTTAAATGTGACGCAGAAGTCAAAGGTTAGATAGATGTTATAAAATTTAAGTTGTTTTTTATGACACTGAAAATTTCTGCACTCTTAAATTTCTGCGACTTCTTTTGGCACAAATGCAGCTCCACCTGCTTGATGCTGATTCGCAGCTCACGGATAACTTTGTCTGACTGATCCTTACATTTACTGGTGTTTTTCCAGATGTGGCTACACGCCTGACAGCACTGACAGCTGTGGAGTCACGCCTTTCATGGACGCCATCAGGAATGGACACATCTCTGTGGCCAGGCTTCTTTTAGACGAGCACCAGGTGGAGCAAAGCAGTCCCCTGCAGTAATGTTTCTGCACTGACGTAGTTATATGTAGTGTCTCCACCTGACCTGTGTGTGTGTGTGTGTGTGTGTGTGTGTGTGTGTGTGTGCGCGCGTGCGCCACAGGCATCTGCAGCAGCTGCTGACATACTCGGGGCTCAGCCAGTGCACCAGGTAGCCGTCACAGGCCAGGATGAGGCTCTGCGGTTTCTGGTGAAGGACTTGAATGTCGAGGTGAACCAGAGGGCGACCAGCATCCAGCTCACCGCCCTGCATTACGCTGCCAAGGTCAGAGCAGGGATTTCCCTCTGGTCTCCTTCAGCAGTCTGGTGGGAAGCTTTGGAATGGTTGGGAAAGATAAATAAATAAGCGTAGGAATGTAAGGAAAGGGACCAAGATGGGATGACTTGAGAAGTTTCAGGTCTTTTGCTGTGTTGTTGTGTGGAGTGGTTAATATTTACTAACAGCAGAGCCTCGTCATGGCTCAGCTGGTGGAGCGGAGGATGTCGAGGCGTGACGCTGAAATTCACGGGTTGCTGGTTTGAAGGAGGAATAGTTTCATCCTTCAGGAATATTACATTTATCTTTCCAAACCTTTGTGTCAAACATGTGGCCCGAGAGCCGGAATCGGCCCGGCAAACACTCTAATCCGGCCCACTGCACAGCTTTGGGAAAAGTGCAGAAGTGCATCTAATTTTACTGTATTTTCATTCGTTTTACAGCTTTTGATAAAGACCATCCCCACGCCTGACGGTCATGCTATACGAATTAAATAACGTTTTTCCACTGTGTGGGAAAACTGTGGAAAAACGTTACTGCAGTCAGTTCAAACTTTTACAAAAGGACATTTTCTGTGAACTGACAAAAATGTCATATTTTATAATTACAGGACAGTCTTCACAATGAACTAACAGCACTTTTCCTGTAGTTTGACCCCTTTATGGCGTAGTTTCACTGATGCAGTCCAGATGAGCTGGCTAAACAACAACAGCTGGTGATAAGCTAATGTTAGACGTGGGTGAAACAAATCCCACTTTCTCTCTGATAAACAGTTTGATTACATTTACACATTGTATGAGAGGTCATTTGCTAAGTGTCCAACAATGTTTGATTCACTGATATTTAATGTTAGCTAACAGCAGCTAACAGCAGCTAAAGCAGTGCTTACTGATAGAAAAGTTGAGGATATCAGTATCGCTGTAAAGGAGAGCACTGACATAGATATTGACAGTGGAGGTAAATCGTGGACTGACAGCGTCTCTTCACTACAGACAAACAGTGGTTGTTTGTCCTACAGTGGCCATCGTATCTGGAATTGTGCACATGGATCTGGAGGGATGAGAAAATAAAGCATGTCTGTAACGTTGGTATATCACACCAGATTGTGTTTTCTTTTTGCACGCGGTTCCTATAGCACAGTGGTTCCCAAACTGTTTTTGCTTGGCCCCTTTGTTTTACAAGAACAATGTTTGCACATATTTGGCGATGCTTCATCTCCTGCTTTGCGTTTGTGTGGGAGCCCCGTCAAAACCCTGCCCGTTATGCTAGCAGTGTCCAAGCATTCTGGCGTCCCCCCCCCCCCGCAATGGCTGTGCTCTTCATTACAAGAATTACTGGAGGCTGTTTTATGTCGTCTGTGATTGTAGCCATGAAGAGTGAATGAACAGTTTTCTCAGACTGCTGATACAAGACTCACATACCGAACATAACGAGAATAAAAGCCTCGAGGCAAAGCACGGGCTACAGATCCTTCTCCGAGTCGCACTGACATGCATCTCTTTCAGGAGGGCCACACGTCCACTATAAACACACTGGTGGAGCTGGGAGCGGATCCTCATGCCCGGGACAAGAAGGGGAGGACTGGTAGGATGACCTTCTCAGTGCCTTTATGTAAAGTTATTTTCTCTGACCATGCAGCTTAATCAGAGATAATTATTATCTGTGATTATCTAACAAACAATGCCATCCATGAAGTGTCCAGTGTGCCGTGTGTTCTGCAGCTGAAATACTGCTTTTGTTCAGCCAGTTGAAAACATAATACGGATCATGTGACGAGGGGAAATAACACGTGACCTTTTCTGGCTTCACGCACACTAACAGTCAGGATACTTGGTACACAGTGATGGACGTCAGCTGGTTACGTGAACACTGCGTTTGTCAGTCTGGTGATGAGTGAAGTTTTCATGGAGGAGGCGATGTTTGCAGCATATGGCAAACAGAGACAGGTCCACAGGCAGCTGCTTTCAAATGAAAAGAATAGAAACATATGAGCAGTTTAAACACGATACAAGCTGAAAGCAGCAGTGTGAGTGTGTGAGCTTTGACATGTCGCTCCACTTTATTAATAAAGCTTTGCCTGTTTGATGTCGTGAGGAATAAAGGCTCAGAGTCGCAGCTCTGTCATTCAGACAGAAATGAATGTTTAGATTAATGCTTTGTTTTTCTGAGTAATTTTATTCCACGATTCTTATCGATGCTCATCAGGGAAGACTTTAAGAAACCTTAGACCTTCCTACTGTCCGTGCACGGAGTTCTGTTCCAGGAATGACGGTGCTATATTCCAGAGAACTGATTGGTCAGTAGGCGGTAATCTCGTACCTACTGATTTCTTATCTCATACACATCTTGCACTGGAGCAGGTTATAGGGATGCAGCATCATTTTCCACGCCATGCACCGCTGCAGCAAGTGAACCAACATAAAAAATCCACCATTTTTAGTTTACAGACTTCATTAAGCTTTGGTTGGACTCTTTGAAATAACGTGAAAGCTGCACAGTTAATATTGGGTGAACGTCTGTGACAGCTTTACTTCTCTTTTTGTCACTAACATCAAACAAAGAAAGATCTGTTCCTGTGTTTTGCATACACCTGTGCACGTCCCTCGTTTGCATTCATTCAGTCTGAAAAATGAACCTGCAGAGACTCATCAGCGCAGTGCTCCATAGTGACCTGTAACATCTTCAGCGTTACAGAAACAGCACCAAGCTTCTGAAATGGGAGAGTCGTCTGTTGGCTCTCATAAAACTCATTTACAGGAAATATGTCGGCACAGTGAATGAAACAGATTTGGAAACAGGAACAGAGTTAGTTTGTCTTTTCATTGTCATATGGTGATAATGTCACCACCAAAACTCAGTTGTTACAGGAAGAAGTTTTTTACTGCTGTTTCTCTTCTCCCAGCTCTTCACATGGCGTGCATTGGGCAGCACGCAGACGCAGCCAGGACGCTCCTGCAGCTCGGCCTCAAAGATTCTGAGGATGCGTCCGGCACAACCGCCAGGCAGCTGGCCAGGAAACCCCACGTAGTGCAAGTGTTTGAACGTGACCTGGCACACAGACCCTAATCAATCCTTGAAACATTGAGTTCTTAATTTATTGAAATAAAGAAAAGCTGAAGCCTAATAGTGTGATTCAAGTCATTCTGCACAGATTGTGTGGATTACAATAAAAACTGTCACCCTTGTGTTTGCTAAAAGACGCAGGTTTAGACATGATCATGCTAACAGTAATCTCACTTTACCTGATAAACTCTGCATCCTGCCAGGACAGTTCGTGGCGACACAACACAAAAATGCAGCTTTCATTGTCGGCCACTACATTTGATACTGTTTGACAATCTGCTCGGCTGCCTGTTGTTTCTACTTAAAAATATGTTGGTCTTGGTGACTATCTATATGAGCTCAAAGCAGCCCACACACCGATGTAGGACTTGGGACTTTTCTGTTTGCCAAACAGGTGTGTCATGCATATATGTTGTTGCAGCAGTTGAGCATGTTGCTCACGCTATGCTCAACAGGCAAAGTTCCAATTCACTAAAAGGTTCTGTACATTTTTGCGACTGTGATGGAAACTATCACAAAGAAAATGAAGCCACAGCGTTTGTTTGCTGTCGTTTTTTTGTTCAGTTTCACACAAGCGAATGAAATGACACAGTACGTGTGTCAAATGTCTGTAATAATTGGCAATCAATTGCTATAATTGACAAGTAAGGCATAAAACCAATGGATGCACTCCTGCTAGAACCCTATGATTACAAGACAAATTACAGCTACTATTAACTACTGGTGTAGAAACATGGAAAACGGGACTATAATAAAGCCTAACTCAGTGGACCAGAAATACATGTGTTATCCTTATTGTACTTTATGCTTAATGAGTGAGTCACATTTAAATATATTTGGCCGTATTGCGTTAAAACAGTTTATGAGATTGTTATTTAGCTGTGGATATGTCACACTACCTTCCGGCACTGGTAAGGTTTCCCACATCAACACAGTGTTTGGCCCATATCTACTTTGTCGGGTTCTGGTCACCCTACCTGATCCCTGCCGGCTGTAACGCACAGGTGCAACACTGTGCTTTGTGAAGCAGTGCGTCCACACCATTGGCCCACACAGGTACCCGGTACGACGCTTCTTCACGCCTCTTCCTGCAGTGACTGACAGGCTGAGAAGCCCCGCCCCGAAGGCGCCTGACGCTGAGCCGCAGCCCCTTCTCACTTGTAGCCCCGCAGATCTCCATTTTCTTCTTTCCTCATATTCCGGAGCGGAAGAGCAAAGACTTTTGGAAAAAATGGATGAAGAATACGACGTTATCGTTCTGGGCACCGGGCTTACGGTGAGAGAGAAAAACATACAACGCGTGGGCGTGATTTGCAACCTGTTAACATCGCGGTTAACGCTGGAGAAGACGGGGCCTAATCAGCAGGGTTAATGCTAAGTAGCTAGCTTAGCCGCTAACCGAGCGTGAGCGTTTACGTGTTAAGCAATGGAAACTAAATGAAGGCGCTAACCCCAACTACTAGCTCTGTGCTATCGGCAGCTGCTTTCAGTGTCTGAAAAAGATTAACGATAGCAACTGTTAACTCGCTCGAGATAAGTTGAAACGCTCAAACTGTTTTGTATCCTTAATAGGTATTGTAGTACCGCTTGAGTTTAATTAGCGCAGTTCATTGTGTGGATATGCAGAAACTGAGCGCCAATTAAGGCAGCTTTTCTCAGTCAAGATAAGATTAGCCTACGGATGAGTAGTCTGTTAACGTTAGCTGACCTACATTAAGCTATTTTATTAGCCTGCTAACGACGGAGCACAGTCCTGTTGTAGCGGTGTCATCGAATGTATTCCTGGGGTCGAAACTGTTCCCACCGCCGCTCGCCTGCTGCAAGCAGTTCTACGGCAGTGCAGCTATGATGAGCTCGTTGAAGTGTCCTTTCAGCGCTGTTCTGTGCGGCAGTGCAACTAAACTACTACAAACTGAACAGCACTACGAAGAAATCTCAGCAGGTTCTCGGGTTTAATAAAACGAGAAGCTATTTGGCATAGAGGCGCATTGGGACACGTTAATGTAACTGCAGTCGCAAACTTCACCAGCAGGTTGAAGTTACATATCCTGTCCGACTTTCAGTTCACTTTTACACCCGCCGCCCACCAAAAACTAACGTACCGAGTGGCGTGTGTGGGATTGGGGATGTGTAGGCTTTGTTTCTGCGGACTCTCTTTGCTGGTCGTACTTTTAAATAAAACGATTCCCTCGGACAGACTTCCTGACTTTGTTGTTTAAACATGCCGGAAAACCAGTGGTTAGTTTGGGGCTTAATCACAAGCCAACTTGCTGCTTGTACCATTGTCGTCACCACCTTGTTGAGTCGCTGTACAGTGACGTGTTTTTGAGTTGCTTCAGCCCAGGACTTCAGCACAGCGGGTTAACTTTGAGGACTAATACTGGGTGTGGTTCCAACAAGGCTGAGGAACTGAAAGTACACTGCCAGAAGCCAGTTTAGTTAGAGCTGGTGGCCAACCACTCGGAACCACAGCAGACTTGAAGACTGAGGTGGCATAGTGTAGTTTCACACGGAAGTAGTTGAGTCTGCAAATAAATGACTTCACTTCTGTATTCTGCCACCTTCCCCTTCTCCTTTTCTGCTACAACACAGACAAAGGCGTTGCTATGTTTACTAACTGAGCAGGTTATGCAGGAATCTGTGCAAGCCCTGCCACCAGGAAACTTCATCTGACTTTGTTTCCTGTCTCTGGGGCAGATGCTTAATTAGAAAGGGATAGCTGTGTTGTACATGGCAACAATTAGTCTTAAAACGTTTGTAAGTGCACGGTAACAGCTGTCACTGTGAAGTGTACTCTGTGCTCTAGGTCTTAAATGGAAATTGTTAGGCAGGCCTTCTTGGATTTTGGGAGGTTTATTATGCGGGGGGCAGGGGGACAGGGTTCCCCATCTGTCCACTACTGACGACACATTAGAGGAGGGGCTTGGCACAAGATGCCAAGCTCTAAGTGTGGCCCGGTCCTCATTATGATGCTGGTAGTTGGAGTAAGCAGCTTTTAGACTCCAGCCAGGAGATGTGAGTAGGACAGCATTTAGTTATTGAGAAGTATAAAGAGATTGTTGTGACAGCTCTACAAGTTGATTGGCCCAATTAAGCCAGTGACAGTGTTTCTATCAATGGATGAATTGATGCTCACCAATTTGTGGGTTTTCTTACAGTTTATAGTTTGACATTAAAAGCCTTCATCAAACTAGCAGTCCTGATAGTTTAAACATAAGTGTGTTGTCATCTGAGATGGTGATAAAGGATGGAGAATCTAGACTAAAAGGCGTTTTGTTGAAAAGACTGAGGCATAATAGTGATGATAATAATAATAAATGTTATTTAAAAGCACCCAAAGACACTTAACAATGGAGTAAAACACATAGTAGAACAATGACAATCAAGAACAGTAAAAGCAAAAAGCACAAGATAAAATGAACAATTAGTTTACAGTGAATATGCAGATTTGAACAGATGGGCATACAAAGTTAGGCATGTTTTGCCTTCGATTCACTCGAGCTGTCCCTGGCTGCTCTCTGGCTCAGTGGGTGGGGCTCAGGCATCTCCCCCTCACAAAGTAAGCCATGTGTTACCTGAGGCTAAAATGTGTCCGTGTGTTGTTATTTCTTTTTCGTCCCAATGAGTGAATAACTGAAGAAGAACGAATACAAGTGAAGGGCAAAGATGCTCTTCACATCTCAGGTGTAGAAACATTTTAGGTGGGAGCTGAAGAAGAGATGGGAAATCCCATTAACTGCACAGTAACCTCATACCATACGAGGAAGTCTGTTACAAACTCAATGACACTTTTCATTCTTTTCAGTTACGTGACCAGTGCAGAGCCCAGAGGACAAAACCAACAGTTAAAACTAGGGCTGGGCGATATATCGAGTATACTCGATGTAACTGTCAAGTATAAATTGGCATGGCAATATTAACCCCCCCATGGCCCACTGCACTCTGTGTTTATATACCACCAGATAGGGAAAAATATGGCGGGAGCTTCAGACGAGCGAGGGAATGAGACTCGCTGTGTTTGGATTTCTCGAGGAGGATGCAGAACTCAGTGCGGTCATTTGCATTAATGCCGTAAAACTATTGCTGCTAAAGGTAGCAGTACTACGAAATTATTCCACCAGCTTAAAAGTCATCTGCTGCAAAATGAAGGCCGTTTCAAACCTGAGGCATGTCAGCGTCTCGCCACACACCAAAGAACACGCTAAATAAACCAGCTGTGACACCTGTGACTGCTCTTAGTCGGTTTTATAGTCACTATCTAGACTTTTGTTTCTGTAATTTGAGGTCAGCAAAATGTTTTTATTCCCATTGTCAGGTAAACCATTTCTCCATTTTAAATAACTGAGTTGATGTGTAGGAGGGATCTGCAGTGTTTGCAGAAGTGCTTTACTTTGAAAGATTGATAGTTAAAGTGCAGTAAAAGTAGTCAGTCACAGTAATGACTACAGGTAACTGTAGTGCAGAGGCATGATGGAACACAAGACTCCACTTATGAAAAGTAGCTTAGAAGTAAAAATAAGAGAATCTGAAGCACTGCTGATAATCTTAATGAGTCAAGTAATACAGAAGTTATGGAACTGATACAAGATACTCGGGCTGAAATGTTCGGGCTAAGACCCTCAAGAAGAAGATGAAGTTCAGGCTAGGAAAAGAGGAGGGATTCTCTTCTGCGAGGAGTACACCGCTGTAGACGAGACAAAATTACTGAATACAAAACCAGGAAACTGACTCAACCAAAAAGGAAGCAACAAAGGGACTTACTGAAAGGAACCAGTTAGTTTGTGGCTAAACAAACTTAAAGCAGAGATGACTTGATGGGTAAAAGAAAAGCCTTAAATATAATCCAGATTCAAGGCTCTGCTAAAAGTCTGCTGTAAAATCCAAAGGTGAAGTATAAAGTGGGTTGTGGTTGAAAAGCTGAGGGTCACAAACTGCTGACCTTACACGTCCTCTAACAGGCCAGTGTTTTGTTAGGTTGTAGGTGTCAGTGGTGTGTTTGAGAATTTACTGATGAAATGATGAAGTTATACAAAAAGCATAGAGATTGTAAAGATGCGTTACACTCTGCATGTGCTGCTGTAAAATGCTGTCATAAAAGAGAGATCCTGTGGATGTGGCACTTTCCATTCTCATTTTATAAGCCCATCACATGTTTGCATGTAGACCTTTAATCTGCCCGTGGCGGTGCTGGAGTCAACCGCACAGTGCAGTTTATTACTATAGAGTAAAGCTTTATTTTTGTCTTAATCTGCATTTGTAGGTGATCAGATTAAATTCTGATGAAAAATGCCTGAAACAGATCTTCAAACTGATGTCTTGTTTTATCCAGCTGGCAGGCTCGTTAATGGTCACATGACATGAAGAAAAGCACATAAATCAGTCATATATCCACAACTGACACCAACTTTGTACATTTGTAGGTCTTCAGTTAACTTCTTTACATTATTAGTAGGGCTGCCACGATTAGTCGACTAGTCACGATTACGTCGACTATCAAAATCGTCGACGACTGATTTAATAGTTGACGCGTCGTTTGAAGCTTTGTAAGATCCCAAAAGACGCAGGAATAAGTAGCAGGATTTAAGAGTGTAATAACGGACTGAAACAGAAGATGGCAGCACTGCATGTACAAGGATGTCAGCTGCCGTTAAACCCCGAAGAAGAAGAAGCAGTGTCCCAGAATTCATAGCGCGGCCCAGCTTAGTTTCCAACAATGGCGGCAGCTAGTTAGTTTTAATATTACTCTTATTATTCTTTCTGGGTCACAAAATAAACATTTAACATATTTTCAGGCGAGAATGTAGCTGTGTAAACCTCAAATATCTGCTCATATTTTCACCACATATTTTCAAAAGCGCTCCGACGTTTTCGGAGCCGTCTGTTACCCACTAGCTCGATAGCTAGCCGGGGGCTAGGTCACTAGCGCCGTGAGAACACCGGACTCCCGGCAGATCGTTTTCAAACCCACCGCCGTCTTTCCTACTCAGGTTAAACATGATATATGAGTCACTTAGATAACTTACAAATGTTATTGTTTGGCTTTTTTTAGTATTTTATTTGTTCCTGAGTAAATCGGTTTGGCTGAGATTAAAGTTATAGTTTTTACACAGCTGAATAAACGTCAAGCAGACAGCTGATTATCAGAAGTGTGAGATGCTGGAGAATTTACTCCGGTGTCCTGTTATAGTTTAGATAGCAAGGAGTTTATTAAACTTCACCGAGACAATCTGCAAATGTCATTAAAATTTAATAAACTATCATCTAGTCTTTATTTTTAGTTAGCACATACCTGAAACACTTAAAGCTGTAAGCTAATGATAGTTATATAAGAGCAGATGCATGCTGGTGCAATAAGCTGTACGTTTTACGTCCAGTGGATGATGATCTGATTAGTCGACTAATCGCATAAATAATCGGTGACTAGTCGACTATCAAAATAATCGTTTGTGGCAGCCCTAATTATTAGTAAATTAAAAGTCAGGTTATATTTGAGACATGTGACTATGATGTTTGAGAAAGCCGTCCAGATGGAGTCTTTGTTGCCCCCGACTACCCCTTCCCTTCTTTGTGTGTTAAATATTGAACTGGGACTTTGTCACTGCTTGTGTTGGTGTAATGTTTTGCCTGACAGTACAGTGAACTGGCACGATTTCCCCTCTGTCAGCATGAATCCTGCCGCTGACAGTCCTCCGGGCCTCTCTCAAAGTCGCGGTCTTTATAGGCAGCAGCAGGTTGGCTTCAGTCACGTCTCCTCAGAGGAGTGGCTGTGCCACATTACAGCAACTCTGGCCCACATATTTTATTTTATTTATTTGGTGTGTCTGCACGAGGCTTTGAGCAGTCGTCACGATCCAGTTTCACTGGAGCAAATGAAACTTTCTTTGGACAAACGTGCACAGTGTTGCAGAAATGATGCCGAGATGAGTGAAGTAGCAGGGCGTTTATAGTTTTGCATGTTTTAAATTTTCATTTTGTTTATCCAGTTTTTGTATCTTTTTTAAATTAAAGCGCAACATTGTTTCCATTTTTTTTCTTAGATTGTAGTTTTTATATTTCAGTTTATTTGTATTTTTAACTCGTTTTTTTTTTAACAGCTAGTTTTTGTGCAATGGATATTTTCATGGGAAAGATGGTTTACCAGTAAGCTGTAGTATTGTGTGTACTGGCACAGGTGCTGTACAAGTTGACAGTAAGCGTTAGGTGGCATCAGTCAGTGCTGCCTTAGTTTGGTTGGTATGTAAGAAACATTCTCCTGAGCCTAACCTTTCATTCAGTAGAACAACTTGTTTTAGAGTAAAATCCACAGTCACATGATGCTCACACTGGTGGCTAACTTCTACAAGCCCTCAGCTCTAATCTTATTGAGTTTGGGTGGGAATTCCACTGTGGCAATTCTTATCATGTCCAACCCTCTGAAGCCCAGTGGAAGCAGCACTTATCCTCTCAGCTCTGCACAAACATGTCAGACATGCATGCAGAGCTGAGCGGTCAAAGTTGGTCTTATGGCAAATTGAAAGTCATGGAAACGGTAACATGTGGGACATTGTAAAGTACAAATGGCCGAATCGCGTAGTGAATTACCGTAACAGAAACACTGCTTTTGTTTTGTTTAAAATAAAAAAAGCTGCAGTTTAACCCTACGAGTGTGATGGCAGACGACCTGACCTACTGAGTCACTTCACACATTACAGACTGTTGCTAAAAGTATTGAGACCGACAGGAAGTGATGGGAGGCAAAACTGACATGCAGAAGGTTAGCTGCAGAATCAGGGAGGTTACACTTGCATGGTATGTGTTACCGTCAGGATGAAGGCGTAAATCTGTTGTTGTCTGACAAAAGTTCACTTCCTGAATTGGCTGCATTTTTAAAAAACAGAGATTTGTTGGTGTAACTGTATAGATCTTAGTGTTTCTGCATGTGTATAAACATAACAGCACGTGCTGGACGGCAGTAATCGAGTTCTGAACCACCAATGAAGTAATGTTTCACTGCAGCTGCATGCAGTTGAGCTGACCCTGGTAAATACAGCTATTCCTGTTGAGTAAATCATTTTTATTATTAGTGTTTTTGTCATTATTATATCCTGTAACTCGTGTGTGAGGAAAGCACTCTGAAGAACTCTGTGGTTGATTTGAGTCTAACTTCTGTACTTCCTCTCCCAACAGGAATGTATTTTATCAGGCATTATGTCAGTGAATGGGAAAAAGGTTCTGCACATGGATCGCAACTCCTACTACGGAGGTGATAGCGCCTCCATCACACCTCTTGAAGACGTAAGTTGACCTCCCACATCTCTGATTTCTCTTTTGTATTGAGTTGGTTGTTTCACCACAGTGATGTGGAGTTAGGATGAACGTTTGTATTTTAAGGCTGGTAATGGCTTCTTTTAACATGGATCCATTTTGTTCTGAAACGCCACACGTTCCTCTTCTATCCAGCAGAGGTGGTGATGATAGAATTAGCATATTTCATTTTGTGAGAGTAGGAAATTAAGATGCCGCTGTGAAAGTGGAAGCTGTTGCCTGTGGGTCAGATGTTATGTGTCTCACTACAGCTCTACAAGCGCTTCAACCTTCCTGGAAGCCCTCCTGACTCAATGGGAAAAGGCCGGGATTGGAACGTGGACCTTGTCCCTAAATTCCTCATGGCCAATGGTATAGTTTCCCTGATCTTTGGTAGACAAGAAACGATATAATAACTGGGCAACGATTAAAAGGATCCTTAGAAGTGATAACGATGAACGTTTCCATGAATGAAAGTATCCCTTTGTTGCAGGTCAGCTGGTCCGCATGCTGCTGATCACACAGGTGACTCGCTACCTGGATTTCAAAGTGGTTGAAGGCAGTTTTGTGTACAAGAAGCCCAAAATCCATAAAGTTCCCTCTACGGAGACGGAGGCCCTGGCATCCAGTGAGTCTAGTTAAATACTGAACGGTTTAGTGGAAGGTTGTTTTGTTGCTCTCGTTATGGATTTCCTCCTTTTCTAAACTCGTTCTCACTCAAAGGTCTGATGGGGCTGTTTGAGAAGCGGCGCTTCAGAAAGTTCCTGGTCTTTGTTGCCAACTTTGATGAGAATGACCCCAAGACTATGGAGGGTGTCGACCCAAAGAAGACGACGATGAGGGAAATATACAAGAAGTTTGACCTGGGCCAGGAAGTCATGGACTTCACCGGTCACTCCCTTGCTCTCTACCGTACAGATGAGTTAGTAGCCTTCTTTTGTCTTAAGTGTCTGTAATTGGGCATTATTATGATGGCCTCTGCTGTGAAACGCTGCAGCTTGTAGCATTTAGATTGTTCTAATTGTTCTGCCCTTAGTTACCTGGATCAACCCTGCATGGAAGCAATCAACAGGATAAAGCTTTACAGTGAGTCTCTGGCCCGATATGGCAAGAGCCCATATCTGTACCCACTGTACGGCCTGGGAGAACTGCCACAAGGCTTTGCCAGGTAGGGGACACTTTCCATTGTTAGACACGTGTGATGAATATTTTGTTTGTACCAAAAAGATGTTAACTGTGGTTTAGGGTTGGATATTCTGCTTCGTAGTCTGATATCTACCCTAACAAAGTTGTCACACTGTTTGTAGGTTTTGGTTTCATTTACCTTCCTGCAGTGAGTTCTGAAAGTTTAATAAGCTACAGTATAGGTTGCTCCCTTATTCACAGGGGGGTTGGCACAGCAGGTGGCCACGTTTTCAATCTGGCAGTTTGGCAGATTAGATCCTAGTTCACCAGTCCTAGATTTAAACAGAGCACTTGTTTTTACTCTAACTTTGATATATTGTAATATACGCAGCCTTTCTCTTTGCAGCAGTTATTGTATGCACACAGCCCGGTCACAGACTTCCAGTGTGTGAATGTGTAAAGTGCTTTGAGGTCCTTAGGGACTAGTAAAGCGCTAAACGAATACAGGCCATTTACCATTTGTAACTCATCCAATGTGACGACACTCAGTCAAATCCTTCATTCAGAGCACGTGTGCGAACCAAACTCTGTGAGGAGACCAAAGTAGAGGTAAAGCTGAGATGCTGGTTTACATGTGAGCTCGAGTTAAGGGGGAAACTCAAACTACACATTTTCATTGTTATTTTATTTTTTAAGTAAGCATTTTTATTTGAAGACAACTTTTTATATTTTTCAATACTTTGTTTGAGTGCACGACTGTCAGGCTGCTTCAGAATATATTGCGATGACTAATAATCCACATGGAACTTGATATGTTGGACTTTTTGTTTGAGGACGTTTTCTTTAACTGGACTTTGTTACATTGAGGTTGGGTGTGGTTTTGACTCTTGAATTGTGACTCAATTTCCAGGCTTAGCGCCATCTACGGTGGGACGTACATGCTGAACAAGCCAATAGAAGAGATTGTGATGGAGAATGGGAAGGTGGTGGGAGTCAAGTCGGAGGGGGAGGTGAGTAACGCCGGTCCCAGTAGTGCTGAAGGCACAGCCAGACGGGTTCCTCCTTTTATTATGTTCCCCTATCCTTAAGAGTAGAAAAGCGCTGTATTAGCACCAGCATCTGCAAAGACTGTGATGTCTCAGGGCGATCGTGGCTCAAGAGTTGGGAGTTCGTCTTGTAATCGGAAGGTTGCCGGTTCGAGCCCCGGCTCCGACAGTCTCGGTCGTTGTGTCCTTGGGCGAGACACTTCACCCGTTGCCTACTGGTGGTGGTCAGAGGGCCCGGTGGCGCCAGTGTCCGGCAGCCTTGCCTCTGTCAATGCGCCCCAGCTGTGGGTACAATGTAGCTGCCATCACCAGTGTGTGAATGGGTGGATGTGTAAAGCGCTTTACAAATACAGGCCATTTACCATGTTTTGCTCTGATGGAGAATCGCAGTGACAGTGATTGGTGGCCACCTGGATTAATGGCGTTTTACAATCTTAATGTCCCTGCAGTTGCTCTTTGGTGTTGTTCACTACTTTAACTTTTTGAACATGTTTGCAAATCACAGATTGCAAGGTGCAAGCAGCTGATCTGCGACCCCAGCTACATTATGGATCGTGTCACCAAAGTGGGTCAGGTGATCAGAGCCATCTGCATCTTGAGTCATCCTATAGCCAACACTGGCGACGTAAACTCGTGCCAGATCATCATCCCCCAGAATCAGGTCAACAGGAAACACGGTGAGCAGCCAGCCTCATGTTTAGGCCTTTAGGATCAAATTTTCAGTCAGCTGTATAGCGTGCTTGTATAGTCAGACCTTAACGTCCTAACTTGCGTAGTAAGTGAAAATCCTTTCATCCCCACACCCCAACCTTCCACACCAAGCATCCACCCGATGTGCAGTCACGTTCTCGAGATGCACGTCAGGTTTTAGTTGAGGCTCAGATCTGATGCAGGGTTTCAAATGTCTAACATCAAAACGTTGGCCACTGGCACTAAATGACAACATTGAATGTGACACTAACTTGAGTTTTTCTTTTGCAGACATCTATGTTTGTATGATCTCCTTTGCACACAATGTGGCTGCGCAGGGTAAATACATCGCCATCGTTAGCACCACAGTGGAGACGGGTGAGCCAGAGAAGGAGATCAAGCCAGCCCTGGACTTACTGGAGCCCATCGAGCAGAAGTTTGTCAGCATTAGCGACCAGTATGCACCCACTGACATTGGGACTGAAAGTCAGGTATGAAGATGAAATATTGTTTATACTATTACACAGTTTGTTCTTGACCGTGCCACGGTGACCTGCCAGAAAGTTAGCCCTGCCAGAAACACTTCTGTTGAGTTTGTTTTTGCCTTTTTCCAGTGTTTTGTGTGCTTTCACACCATGTTTCTGTGTGCTGGTGTTTTCTTCAGTTTGACCTCCGACCGTACACTTCCCAGTATTGCTACTATTGCCAAATACCCACAGAGGAAAAACGTGTCATTCCAGGATTTTTCATGCATGTGTCCGTATCCCTCATCTTCATCTGTATTTCCCATCAAGTATATCAATCTCTGAACTTGTGGAGATGTTTTTTTGTTATGAATGTTTAAATCTCAGTGCTAACACAGTGGGGTTGATGTCACAGTTAAACCTGACTAGAAGTGTTAAAAAAATGGTGTCAGATCCAGACTGGGCTGAAGTCTGTTTCTGTCAGTTTCCAGCTTGGATGTGAATGGCATGTTTAACATGGCTAAAGTCAGCGATGCAGTTAATGAAGCGCACAGCGTTGGTGTCTTATAGATGTGTGACTAGCACATGGCCGTATTTATCACATGATAAAGGCAGACTTGGTTTAATCTCTGTGCAGTTGAGCTGATTTGTCAGAGTGCACATCTTCACAACTGCATGTTATCCTTCTGTCGTTAGCTTTAGCTTGTAAATCTGCCTACAAGGCTAAAAACCAGTCAGCAGATATTGTTATTAAATGTCCTGGACATGACTGCAAAGTTCTGCCATATATCTGTGTGCACTGCAGTTTCTTCACTCTAATGCTGGGTTTTTACACGAGGCACACACATGTGCTCGATCAGCTCCGCCCACAAAGGTTTACAAAGCCATTGAAAGCTCCTCTGTGACCACAGAAATAAAAGGAGGATACTTTTGTAACTAATGATTTGTAGTGTGCGTAGTTGACATGAAAGAACGCACTGCGTGCTCTTACTGCCACCTGGTGAACAGTTACAGTTGAACATCTCGGGCGCTTTGATTGGACTTCTTTTAGTTCTTGGAGACTTTGTTCTGTTGTTGCTTCCACTTTGTATGGATGATTGTTTTGGTTATTTCACGATGTTTGCTCTGTGACGTTAAGGCACACTTGGACTTTTGTTTCCCTCTAGATCTTCATCTCTCGGTCCTACGATGCAACAACTCACTTTGAGACCACCTGTGATGACATCAAGGACATCTACAAGAGGATGACAGGCTCAGAGTTTGACTTTGCTGAGATGGAGCGCAAGAAGAAGGACACCTTTGGTGACGATGATTCGTAGAGGCAGCCAGTCCTGCAACACTCTGATAATCAAAGACAACGGAAATCTTATAAAAAATAGAAAACTTACACAAAAAAGTAAAGACCAGTGGGCTGACTGATTACTCGAGTACACAGTTTGCCCACTGAAGAAGTTGATGATGCATAGAGAGAGGCGGTATAGTTTTGTTGGATAGGGTTCAGGGAGAGCGCTATGCTTCTTCACATCATTCAGGTGGGTGTTGCACTAAATACTGGTTATATCTAATAGACAGTTAATACCCTACATTTTTCTAATTCATCATGCTAAGACGATGCGTAGTCCAAAGATGCCAAATGAAACGATTCATAATCAATAGTATCTGGAAAAGATGTACACTCTATACTCGGCTGATATTTTGTATATGCAGGTGTTCTTTTCGTGTCAGGTTCTGTGAGTTGTGGCTTGGCATCGTGTGTCTGTATTCAGTTGTGGTGTGTTGAGCTGAGTGTTCCTCACAGGATGTGGCAGTTCCTGCACTTTCAGGCCGGTAACAGCAGAGCGCCGTGCGAGGCAGCACCTCAGCATCCACATCATATGGTCCGGTTTTGTAAAAGTGCTTTAGTGGTGTATGGGCTAGGTCTTCTTTCTTTGTTTGATCCCCTGATTGTGCGACAGCATACAGTAAGTCACAGGCACGACTGTAGCTCAACATGAACCTCCTGAACCGGTTTTCAACACTTTGAGTTACTATAATGCATCTGAGAAAAATGTATTAGTTCCTGTATTACCCAAAATAATCAAAGACCCGAGCATTAACAGCAGATTGATGACACATGTAATTGCTTAAGAAGGACCAAATGTGTACTGCAGCAGTATTGAACTGATGGGAGCCTTGTGATATCTGGTTTTGAACAACTGTTGTTAAAAAAGGAAGAAAAAAACTATCTTGGGGCTCAAATGATTTCTGTACTGCAAAGTAAAAAAAGAAAAACTTTGTCAAAATCCAAAGCTGTGTGAGATTTATTTATTTTAGTAGTTTCAAGTATGCAGCAGGCTTTGTAATGTCTGCTTCTACACATCCTTACCCTGACAACATTTGGTAGTGCATCATCATGGATGAAAGCTCAGACTTGTAATACTGGGTCATCAGGTAAAAACACATTTCCATGGATCTAACGCACAAACACATGCTGATGATTCGTGCCAAGCTGAAGAAACTAAAACACGAGCTTCTTGGACACACAGCAAGTCTGCTTTCTTATGAAGGCATCTGTGGGACAAACGTGGTGACAGAAGGGAAGCTGAAGCTGTCCAAGCACCACTGTAGCCTCGGATCACCCACCGCAGTCGTCACACCTCGCTGGCATCACTGTAAACGAGCCTTTAACACCTTAAAGGTAGGTAGTCTATGATTACTGACTCGCTTTAAGGGAAAAAAGTTCCATGTGACCAAACTAGGAAATGGATTTCGACACTTCCGCGTTCGCTTTATGAGTCTGCAGAATCCTCGGTTCGTCTTCAGATCGCTACTACAATTCCCAGAATGCCGCGGTGGCTTTCCGTTCGACTCTGTAGAGCGCCGTGTGTGGTAACCTGTAATCATGGAGGTGACGGCAGCCCGCCGCTCGTTTCTGTGCGACATCGGTAAGCATCGTCAGCAGTTAACGGTTTACACCTCAGCTCATCCACAGGAACGGCTGACGTCCGATTATAACACCGTGTGTTCGCTGCCAAAAGCGGGTTTTAACCGGGAAATGTAGGCGGAGAATAACAGTCCCGTCAGTGTCGAGGAAGTTCGGCCGCTGCACAGACCAAGTCATTTGGTAGCTAACCGGCTTAGAGCTAGATGACATGCTCGGAGTTCCTCTGTAAATGAAGAGCAAATGCGACATTTACAAGACTACACTCTAACTAATGGACGTAAACATGATGAATGAGGCCAAAAAGACTTCGTTATTTCTGTAATAGTCTAAGTATTGCCCTTGTTCATATATTAGTAATGGACACTTTGCCATGACACTGATGGATACTGACAGAATAGACTTATTCCACCCAGTACTGCTGCCGTGGTTACTGGGTTTACGCATAATGGAACTGGTTAATGGACGGTCTCTTTGCTGTTGTGCTCGTGTGTGTGTGTGTGTGTGAGGCTTCTGGGCAGACCGCACTGCTCTGCACGAAGCAGCATCCCACGGCAGGACTTTGCAGTTGAAGCAGCTGATAGAAAACGGAGCGTCCGTCAACATGGTGACTGTGGATAACATCACTCCTCTACATGAAGCCTGCATCCAGGCCCATCCAAACTGTGCTCGCCTGCTGCTGGAGGCAGGAGCCCAGGTGAGGCACAGCTTCACTCTACAAGCCGGTGTAGAGTCTGGGAGTCGCGCACCTTAACACAGCGGGTACAAAGTGATGCTCTCTGGTGCAGAATCCCACTGCTGGGCAGCAAGAGGCACTCTCTCTGTGACAGCCTCACAAACGATAACTACTCTTTGTTGTTCAGGTCTTAACATGGCCCTACAATTTTGTAGATTACCTAAAGAATAGCTAGATAATGTTCTTCTGTTTGTTCCAGGTGGATGTACGCACCATCCATGGTAGCACGCCTCTTTGTAATGCTTGTGCTGCTGGCAGCCTGGAATGTGCCAAGCTGCTGCTGGACTATGGAGCCAAGGTGAACCCGTCCCTCACAGCCCTCACTGCCTCACCGCTCCACGAGGCCTGCATACAAGGTAAACCTTCAGCAGGAACAACACTCTGCCATGCTGTCACATGTCTCCCTATGAACAACGCTTCACATTCCTCTCAGGTAACCCCCAAGTTGTGAGACTGCTGATAGCCAGCGGTGCCAAGCTGGAGGCATTTGACGTCCACTTTGGGCCTCCCCTTCACATAGCATGTGCTAAAGAACATCTGAATTGTGTCAAGGAGCTGCTAACTGCAGGTGTGTTAAAGGTGCAATGTATGGTTGTTTTATTTCCTACAGAGAGTGCTGCAGCCAATCAAAGCTGTAAGAGGGTGAGGGGCGGGTTCATTCTGGATCACAGGGCTGAGGCAGACAGCTGTTCACTCATGCTAACAGCATTTAACCTGTGCATGTCTTTGGACTAAGACCTTTACATGATTGTGAATTATGCAGGTGCTAATGTGAATTCAGTGAAGTTCCATGAAATGGCGTTGCATCACGCAGCTCGGGTCGGTATGGTGGAAATGATTGAGCTGCTGGTGGAGTTTGGGGCCAATGTGTACGCCAGCGACAACCTGGGAAGGAAGCCTATAGACTACACAACACCTGCATCTCCCTCGTACACCTGCCTCAGGTTTTATGAAAGTAAGGTTCTGCGTTGTGTCTGACTTACAGCAAAAACGTTCAAGTTCTTACGTTCTTGCTCTTTTTTTGCTTTTGAGGCCTGATCGTCTTATTAAAACATTTGTTGTTGACAGGTAATCCTTTGAGCCTGCAGCAGCTTTGCAGGATTGCTGTGAGGAGGATGCTGGGTACCAGAGCATCAGAGGTCCTGAGCCAGCTGAATATATCCCACCGCATCAACAGCTACCTCCAGTACTGTGATCGTCCCATATCCCTACAGACTTACACATGAACATTTAGTGTACAAGGTTTAAAATGTCCCCTGAAAAATGTTTGCCATTCAGATGAAACACGTGTAACCAGGATGAAAATCTCTGTACGGAGTCAGTTCAACACTGTATGTCAAATTAAAGCAATTGATTGCTGAATGAGAACAAGTATAATCTATATAAAGCTCTGTTTCAGCACTCTGACAATTTCCAACACATGTATAACACATAAGGCAATTTCCTTTATCGGCTCAGCTGTGATGGCCAGGGGCCTGTCAGCTCTCTCTACTCCACATTACGCGACACTGGCCAGACTACCAAAAGTACTCCAAGAGCACATCAGTGACTCAGGTCAAGTTATTTTACCCTGCTGGGATAATAAGCTGGCCAAAGGAGGAGATAGAAGTCAGTGACCTCAAGACGAGGAAGCTCCTGACCATGCATGGAGGGTCAAGTCCAGAACCCTGACTGGCTGTATGCTAAGCAGAAGGAAGGAGGCCGGGGACTGGTGAGTGTCAGCACCACAGTCCAGGATGAGACAACGAACATCCACAGATACATCAGGAAGATGCCTATAACCAACTGCATGCTCAGTGAACACCTCAGGCAGCAGAAACCTGAGGAAGAGGAGGAACCATCATGGAAGGACAGGCCCCTGCATCTCCAGATAGAGGAAGTGGCTGACATCCAGAAGTCCTACCAGTGGCTGGATACAGCTCGACTGAAGACAGCACAGAGGCACTAATCATGGCAGCAGAGGAACAAGCACTAAGCACACGATCCATAGAGGCTGGGGTCTGTCACACCAGGCAAGACCCCAGGCTGTGTAAAGATGCCCCTGAGACGATCGATGAATGGCTGTCCTGTTTGGGTGTTGGTCACCAGGAGATGCTACATGAAAGGAGATGCTACATGAAAGGAGATGCTACATGAAAGGAGATGCTACAGTTGTTTTGTGTAGGATAAACAGGTTAGTGAGGTGCACTGTGATAGATTTAGAGTAAAGAACAGTGTGCGACTGGTGCACAGAGGTGCTCGGGATCAGAATTAGATTGCATCGAGGGTAGCTGATTAATTCACTGAATTCATGCCAACTTTATACCATCTGGTATGAAAACAGCACAAACAGTGTACTGTCAGTGTGGGGAATGGAAATCAGCCAATCAGCGTGTCAAATATTGGGTTACAAACTGTTGACTTCAGTGAAACCTCAGAGCAGCAGCAGGTACAGCTCAGCTGATCAAAGCCTGTTCAGAGAAAATCTACAGGAGCTCTCAACAGAAGATATTGTGAGTGGGTGCAGGGCAGCTACTCTGTGGTTCCGACACGAGCTGCTGTGTTAAACACACCAGATTACAGCTTTGATCGTGACCAGGCGTTCTGTTCAGGACAGGCTGTTTACACCCCGCTAGGATATTATTCAACCTGAGTTAGAATAAATGTTAGTCGCTCTCCACGCGTGAAACGGTGTTATTTGGGGTAAAAACTACAAAGTCCAACATGCCCGCGGAGGTCGGGTTTTGTCACGTGACTCCTGCCGCATGTAGCGCGCGAGGACGCTGTTTACAAACAGCCGTAAGTCCCGCGTTTCGTGCCAGCCTAGCTTGTTCTGCGGGGAAGCAGTCGGAGGATGGACGCTGAAAAGTCTCGGCCCTATTTCTTTGGCGACATCGGTGAGTACGAGAGCGGACGACAGCGAGACGGTCGGTAATCGAGGCCGAGTTAGCTCGGCAGGACTGGCACCGGCTGCCGTAATCCTTGTTCTAGAGCTAGCAGGTAATGGCAGCTGTCATGTTATTACACAGACAGAATTATTCACCTGGAAAACGTGACGATGACGTGAGAGACACCTTCGCCGCTGCCCACATGGGCCTGCGTGCGCCTGCACGCGCGCACACCGAGCAGTGGCACGCGGTAAAAAATGAAAACAAGCTTGCTTATTGAACTCACGCACTGAGCCGTGAATCATAAACTACAATCGATCACATCCACTGATCAAAGAGCATTGATCACTGATCAGTGCTCAGTCTTGACCTTTAGCGTATTCTAGGTCAGTGGCGCCAGTTGGAGTCATCGTGTAAATGCCCCGTTTACAAGGTTGGGGACACCTGCAGTCAGCTGGGACTGAAGACGTCACTGGATGATGACGAAACGTTTCTCGCTACGTCCAGGTGAACAGAATCAACCTTTTTTCCTTTCCTGGATGATTAAGCACGCATCGAGTCATGCATTTGACTTTGTCTCTGGAGAGGATGCGATATTAAGGATGCAAGAAGCTTGATGACAGCGCGGTCTGAGATGAACATCCTTTGGCATGTTTTAATTTACGTCCACTTTTAGATTTGAGTAGGCAGCTTGCACTGACAGAAGGCCACCGGCACACAGTATGTGTGTATATGAAATGGATTGATTATGGATTGTGGGAGGAAGTCCATGCCATCCCACAAAGAGCAAATAGACCTGGTACAAAGGGTGCCAGGAAACTCAAACCTGGCCTTTTGGAGTGTGATGACCGTTCTAATCCCTGTACCACTCTATCACCACACAGGCCCCCTTTAATGGGTGGTTGGACTTGGCCCCAGGTGTGGATGCAAGCTAAGTAAAGACAGGAAAAAGTTAATGCGGCTCTTAGAATTACACACACACACTGACCATCACGCAGTGGTCACCGAGTGGTAGCAAAGCTTGAAAAGTACTAATTGTTAAAAGGGAGTTTTTCCTTCCCACTGTCGCCAAAGTGCTTGCTCATAGGGGGTCATATGATTGTTGGGGTTTTCTCTGTATCTATGAAGCGCCTTGAGGCGACTTTTGTTGCGATTTGGCGCTATATAAATAAAATTTAATTGAATTCAATTGAATTAATTCCATATATGTTTATATATGTCCACGTTATTTATAGAGCAAAAACACCAAAATACACCAGGACACCAACATAAAGGGAACTGCAGTGATCAGTAAGCAAGTTGATATAAAAACGTGGCTCAATCTGTCAAAATCCTTAGGAAGAAAATAGCTTTACCTTAGCAAGAAGTCATAGCTGAATAAAGCTGAAAGCTTATTTGCTTTGTGAATTTAAAGGAGCTGTCAAAGAATATGCCAAGATACCTGACAGAGGAGTGAACAACAAAGCGCTCAAGAATGGTTTTGGAAAGATCTCCTAAATACCATAACCTCCATTTTGCTATTGTTAAGGTGGAGGAAGTTTGAGTTCATCCAGACTTTTATATCAGCAAGACAGTCCGATAACAGTTTCACAGAGTTGTCTTCATGCATGCTCAGACATCCAGGTAAGTAAATCCCAAAAAGCTGATTCTGTTCAACCTTTTGGGATCCAACGTCACTTGGATGAGTGATGAAACGTTTCTCCCACTGAAAACGCTGCGTCCAAGACTTGTTTTTCTTTTTTTATGAATGTCATCAGCAAAGCAGTGGAAAGAGATATTATATTTAAAATAAAAATCGACCCTAGAGCCAACATATATAAGGAAAATAAGAGTGGCCCTAGGATGGATCCTTGAGGAACTCCACAAGTAAGAGGTGCTGCAGCTGAGGAAGAAGCATCTATCTGGACTGAGAAGCTCCTGTTCATAAAGTAAGACTTAAACCACTGTGGAGCAGTTCCCTTAATGGCCACAACGCTCGAGCCTTCATAGCAGGATACTGTGAGTGTCGGCTACAAGCATCAGAAAAACAGGGGTTCCCAAAGATGTGCGGTGAGATCTAAAGTACACGGCGTGAACGCTGATTGGCCCGAAGAAGGCCAAGAGAAAGATGATTGGACTAGAATGGTGATGTCACAAACAGGTTGAGAGCGTGGGAAAGTGGAAGTGATGTGAAGTTTAGATTTAGCCGGCAACACCTGGGAGCAGACGGATGTGAGCTTCCTTATTGAACCTACACGTACGCTTCACTTAACACTGACAAAGACACAGGCTCACACTGGTTTACAGCAGCAGGGAACGACACTCCCAGTAGGGACCAGTACCTCAAATCTGATATTTTTCCAGTAGAAACTGTTGAAATCTTTCACAAAGTGTTTTGGAAGCTGTAGAGGTGAATGAGTGGGAGGTTTTTAAATGACTGTTAGAAGAGATTAAGCAACTTTTACAGCATGTTGATTTCTGTAAACAGCCCTTCAAGATTCCTAAGGACACACCAGGCTTGTCCAGGCTTGTCCAGGCTTGTCCAGGCTTGTCCAGGCTTGTCCTGGTGTGTTCGTCTCTGCGTTCAGCCCCGGGTCTGCGAGTGTATAGGTGTTGCACAGGCAACAGGCAAACTGAGAAACCCCAGCAGAACAGCTGCTGTAAATGAGATGAGGTTTCAGTTCTTCCTGAACGTGCTCCTCTGCAGGCTGCTGGGCGGAGCGAACAGAGGTGCACAAGGCAGCGTCGCTCGGCCAGGCCTCCCAACTGGAGGAGCTCATTCAGGGCGGAGCCTCGGTCAACATGGTGGCCGTGGATTCCATCACACCGCTGCACGAGGCGTGCCTCCACGGACAGGCCAAGTGTGTGCAGCTGCTGCTTGAGGCTGGAGCTCAGGTGAGTCACAGGCGCAGTAATGTGATCTACAGTCGGTCAAACTGTAGATCAAACAAGTAGAAATGGCTTGATGGAAAACACTCTGTTCCCCATGATGCTGTCAGGTGGATGCAAGGAATGTGGATGGAAGTACCCCGCTGTGTGATGCCTGTTCAGCTGGGAGTTTGGAGTGTGTGAGGCTTCTGCTGCAGTACGGTGCCAAGGCGAACCCTGCCCTCACCTCCCGCACAGCCTCACCCCTGCACGAGGCCTGCATGGGAGGTGAGAGTGTCGCGTGTTGTGCTGTTGTCTGTGTTTTTGGAAAATAAAAGTTAATTTTATATATGTTTGTATTTCAGGAAACTCTGAGTGTGTGAAGCTGCTGATTTCCATGGGAGCTTGTCTGGAGGCGTATGACCTTTACCACGGCACCCCGCTGCACGCGGCCTGTGCTAACGAGCACACGGACTGTGTTAGAGAGCTGCTCAATGCAGGTGAGGGTCTGCACAGTAGGATGAATCAAACACAGAGTACAACACAGTATAAGCTACCTTACAGTCAGCGTGCCAACTGTAGACCAGCAGGTGTAAGGAGCAGATGAGAACACATTTTTAGCCCCTTACCCCGGAGCCGTAAAAGGATGGTGGGTACTGTTGCTGGTCACGCTGGGAGTGTGAACTTTGGGAACACGAGAACGAGGCAACAGGATTTTCGTCCTGATGCCACAGGTGTGTGAGGAGCAGAGAGAGGTTTCCAACATGCTGTTGGTAAAAGCACGAGTGTTCTTCAGACATTATTGGCACACAATCACAGAAATGCTCCAGAAAGAACAAAAAGCACCTCCGTCAGTAATGTTTGCCCCCCTGAGAAACTGAGCTTTGTGTTGAGGCGCGGCACAAACCGCCGCGGTGCAACGATGTGTTAAATAACCACACCGACGTCTTCCTTCAGGCTTCAATGTTTCTGTTCTGCGTAGGCGCTAAAGTGAACGCCGCCAGGCTGCACGAGACTCCGCTGCACCACGCTGCTAAAAGCATGCGGGTGGAGACGATCGAGATGCTGGTGGAGTTTGGAGCCAACATCTACGCTCGAGATCAACACGAGAGGAGACCCGTGGACTACACCACGCCGGGCTCTCCCTCTGCAGCCTGCCTACAGTCTTATGAGAGTAAGTTTCATGAGTGTGCAGCACCAGCAGGAGGCACGAGAGGATCATTTTCACTTCCACGAAGCGTCAGAAAGACGACACCTGACATGTGCCATAACATTCTGATGCACAGCTGCTTTCACTTCTCCAGCTTTACTCTCACAGTGAATCAGTGTTCTAGAGGCTGACACGTCATTTTGTTCTTGTGAAAAATGTCATATTATCATTTGCATGTGTTATGAACAGAGATTTGACATGTTTTCCCCGTGTTCAGCCTCTCCTCTGAGTCTGCAGCAGCTCAGCAGGTTGGCAGTGAGGAGGAAGCTCGGCACCAGGGCTCTAAATGTCATAGGCCAGCTGGAGGTCCCTAAACTCATCACCAGCTACCTCTGCTATCAGTGAGCGCCACCTGCAGGAGGAGCCGACCGGCGCTCAAAGGACTGGAAACTGCACAGCACTGTGTTAAATATGAGCACAGCTGCCTGAGATTCCTTTAGTTTAAGAGCCCTGCCATGCACGCACTGCAGCAGCTACTGCACTCGGCGTGTTCAGGCTGTGTGATCGCATTAGTGCTGCTGTAAGATGAGATGTGTTTAACTTCTTAAAGAGCAGAGTAACACTGACTTTCACTTGGCTTGCTCTCACACACACACACACATACACACACACACACACACACACACACACACACACACACACACACACACACACTCTGAACACATGTTCTTTGTTTCTGTCTCGTTTGCAAAGCTAGTTTAAACGTGTGTGTTGAACGTGGACAAAATATGTGGATGTTGACTCTGATGTTGTGACATCACCACCTGTTAACAGGAAGTGTTTAAATGCACAGTGTCTGTGCTGTAAATGCCTTTAATGCTGCTGAAAACACACGATACACATTTAATGTTTGGTTTCTATGCTGGTCGACAGTTTGTGAGTCTGAGAGGAAGCACAAAGCAGCAAAACACTGCTGCACTGCACGTCTTTGGGTATGACCTCGAGTCGGGAGGAAACGAGAGTGATGTTAGTCCCGCAGCTACTTTAAAATAAGCTCAGCACTTCACTCTCTGCATGTGATGCGTTTAGTCGACTGGCAGTGATGGCAGGGACAGCGAGTGGAAACGCAACAGCAGCTTTTCTATCTGCTCATGTTAACACAAGCAGCACTGACAGACTCGTCTCCTACAGTAGCTTCTGTTATCAGAGACGGCGGCTCTCACACCTTCTCTTTGACGTTTTTAGTTAGATGATGTGTGGGGGACTTGTTTGCCAGCGACTAATCTGAGTCCTAAACAGCTTCATGAACAGTCTGTCTACCTCCAGAGCAGAGTGTGCTTCCAATCCATGACTGTGTAAGGCTGTTTATTTTTAACTGGAAACGACGCTCAGGAAGACGAGATGTTGCTTTTGGAAGCAGCTAATGGTTTCTGGATCAAACGCTGGATCTGCTGGGACAGCGCAGCACAGACTCAAAGTATGAAATGATGAAGTGGGGCATGGCGTGCAAAGGAAAGAAAGCTTCTCGTAAGAGGAATACCAAGCAAGTCTGCTGTCAGGGCTGCAGCGTGAAACTCTGCAGATGCTCCCTGCTGGTGCAGTTCCAGGAGACGCTGATCCTGGTCACTTATTTATAGCCGTGTGACATTTATTCCATTAAATCTGCTCCACAGGCGACGCACTGAGCCCTGTCAGGTCGTAATATTTTTAACAGGAGGCACAGGAAGCTGGTATGAATTCCTTCAAGTTCTTTATATTGTTTCTTTTTCCCTGTCTGGCAGTTATTAACTGTGATTTATCCTTGGAAAGGGAGTCAGGCCACAGGCCTCTCTTTAGCAGTGTTACTGGGTTATGTGTCTGTAAATACCTGCAGCACATTCTTAATAATAATAATATTAATGGTCTTAATGATCAGCCAAACGTCTCGGGAACCGTTTAACTTCTGGGTGGCTGTGTTTGATCTCATAGCTGCTCACAGCAGAGGTAAACTGCAGAGACGGTCTCTGATGAAGCAGTCGTTGTTTTTAACACCACTGCTGATCTCACAAAGACACCGTATTCACAAATCACAGCTGTCACTGACTCGTGCTCAGGTTACATCACCTACAGAGAGTGGACGCACATCTGTGACCTCACACTGCTGCAGAAGTGCTTCACAGCTGGGTGGTGATGAGTGTCACACTCTGTGCTCTCTGATCTACGTCCACACTGATGCATGCTTTTCTCTCCGTTTTGGCCTCCCGTCCACACTGAGACGGCGTTTTGCGTCGCAGTGTGGACAGCGCAAACGTAGACTTTCTAAAACAATGACGCATTTTACTCTGTGAAAACGCTGGTGTGGACGCAGAGCGTTGTCAAATCTATGTGGGCCAATGTGGACGTGGTACAACTCAATTCAATTTTATTTATATAGCACCAAATCACAACAAAAGTCGCCTCAAGGCGCTTCATAGATACAGAGAAAAACCCAACAATCATATGACCCCCTATGAGCAAGCACTTTGGCGACAGTGGGAAGGAAAAACTCC